CAAGGTGAGCAAGGAGCGGCTGGGACAGGCGGGCAGGGGTCAGGGGGCGCCAGACGGTGTGGGCCCGGGCCTGGAGGGCAGAGCGGGGGTCCACGCGGCTGTTTCTGTGTTGTTGCTCTGAAGCCATCAGGCCTGCCCTTCATGCTGTACGCAGCCCTCTCTCTTGCGGTCCCCCTCCCTCCCTCCCAACCAGAAGGAGGCGTCACACTCTCCGCTTCCCCCCCTCGCCCCCACTGCTGCCCCGGGACGTTGGCCACCGGCCCGTGGGGGGGGGGGGGGCCGGGCTCTCCCGGCCGCCCCGCCGGTGCTGGAGGTTCAGGCCATGCAGTCCCCCCCCAGAGCCTTGATGTCTTTACTGGGACCTTTGTAGCCACATTTATAAACTGTTGCCTCAAAACGGAGCCTCTGTTTTTAGCTTGCCCAGATGGCGGGCGCCAAGACCAAGGGAGGGAGCTGCCGCGCCCTTGGCTTTCTCTTAGGCTTCAAAGCCGCGTGGGCCTGTCGGACTCGCGGTCAAGCTCATTCTGTGCCCTGTGCCTGACCCCTTACTGCTCGTTCGCTCGGCCTTCCTCCTGTGCCGTTGAGGGTGATTGGGAAGGGGCAGGGAGGGGCTGCCCCAGCGCTGACTGGCGCAAGGAGGCCCTGGGGTGTGGGAGAGAACACGCCAGCATCGGGGTGCGGAGCAGTCTGCGGTTGCAAGCGGCAGAGGCAGGCTCTGGCGGACTTGGGCCGCAAAGGAACACGCTGGGCGGATGCTGGGTGGCTCAGGGCCGCGGGAGGAAGAGTCGAGCGGGAGGGCCTGGGAAAGACGGGGCTTGGTGAGGCCCGTCAGTCTTCGGGATGAATTGTCCCCGCTGCCTGTAGCCCGTGGCTGAGAGCATCCTTTCCTTACCAGTAAAGGAGAAGGTTCATCTTTTCCACACTGGCCTCGTGGATTCTTGAGACAATTAAAGCAGATGCCACATGTCACACATCTCTAAGCTGTGGGCCTTTTACAAATGTCAAGTCTTCGAGAAAGCCTGTGATCCCGAGGTCCTGGCTTCCCTGATCCTGGTCGAGGGCAGTGGGGTAAGCAGGTTGCCTCTGAATTCAGTCTCCTCTTTCCACACCCCTGCGGTGATTCAGCTGGGAGAAAGCCCCACCTTGCCCAGCCTCCTGGGCCCCTGGCCCTGCACAAATGACTTTGGAGGGTCAGAGTGGGGATGTGTCCTTGTTATCAGTGGTAGACCCTGACCCCACCAGCAGTTCTCGGGGTGCCGGATGGGGGTTCTCCTTCCTACTGATGGACTTAGCCATGGAGCTTCTGTAGCAAATCCTGGTTCTGCTGTCACCATGGACCGTGGCAAGACTTCGCTTCCTGTAAAATGGGGCTGTTTCTACCGCAGGGCTGTTGGACGCTCAGTGGGTGCAGTGCTCTGGATGGTTCCCCGGCGCAGAGTGCACCCGGGAGATGTAGTGTTGTTTCCAGCCTGTGCCACCTGTTGGGACCACGCATGGAAATAAACTGATCTCTGCCTTGTGCTGTGGTCGCTTCCCTGGCAGTTCAAAGGCTGTGTTCTCCTCCTGCTCTCTGGGCCCTGGGGTTTGAAGAACACATTTAAGTCCTTGTAAGCTCCTTGGCAAGACAGACTATGAGCGGGCGGGCAGTGGCGGGAAAGCTTGACGGCTAGGAGCACAGGACAGGTGTGTCGCCACCACATGCAGCCGAGATCAGCTGTCTTCGCGCTCAGATCCGCTCACCTGGCTGCCCCGGAGGCCAGCCTGCGATTTCTCTGATCCTCCTCTCCCGCGGAGCCCAGGGCTTGCCTGCCCATCCTCCTTGCCTGGTGGCTGTGCTTGGCGCTGGGGCACCCCCCTTTGGCTCGGGACACTACACGCTTCCAGCCGAGGCAGCAGCAGCGTGTGGAATGGGGGCCCCAAGAAGCCCCACCATCTCTCCCAAACCACCTCTTTCAGGTGCTCGGGTTCTCGGCTACATTTGTGGCCTGAGTGAGTAAGTTTGGGTCTCCAGGGGACTTTGGCCCGGTACACAGCAGCATCGACGCTAGTCTCGTGAGGCAAACAGGCCCAGCCTGCGGAGGCCCTTGCTCCCTTGAGACGCGCGTTTGGCAGAGAGCCCGAAGACGCGGCGGTGGGCCCGGCGCACGGCGTGTACCTGCCTCTCGACGGGCTGAGCCGTCTCCCTCCTGAGGCGCCGTCTGCACCCCGGACAGCCTCTAAGATGGCAAAGGCCCTCGCATAACTTGCAGCACAGGGAGTGTAGCGCCACTGGGCCAGAATTCGGGGACTTGCTACGTCCTTTCACTTGTCAAAGCGAAACGGACTATGTGCTGGCACTTCTTTCACTTGTAAACCTTGGAAGTAGTTCCGTGATGAGAGGCCTCAGTCACTATCGGCAGATATTTTGTTAATTTTTAACAAAAGCTGAAAACAACACTGCTGACTTGGAGAAGCCGCCAACAAAGTGCCGCCAGGGAGGCAGGCGTTGGCCAGGACTCCCGTCAGGACGCCTTTCTCTTCCGTGGGGACTCTCCCGCACACTGTGTGCGTTAAGTGAAAGTGACAGAGCAGAGAGCACTTTTGATGGAAAATTAACTGATAACACACTCTTATTTCAATTTTCTTTTTATTTTTTAATTTAAATGACTGTGTATATTCCACAGTCTTAGGATGAAGGCTCCAGAATCATGTCTACGTCTTCTCAACATTTCAGTTCTCGAATTGGTTTTTACTTTACGTTGTGCATTGATATGGGCTTCTCAGTTCAGAAAACAAGGCACTAGAACTATTTTATCAGCTACATTAATACAGTGAAGATATATGTATCCTTTCATTAAATATACAGCATTTGAATACAATATGGTTTTATGCAGATCAGGTTCAAAACACCCAAGGCACACACTTTATTTTTTTCCTTTTTTTTTTCATTTCTGTATTTATTTGAAGGCTCATATTAAAGTTTCAGAATTGCTATAAACAGAGAGTTCCAGAGTAGAAGCAATGGACAGTGATTGTTGTAATTTTAAACACAGAACGGTAAAGACTGAAATGCAGAGACGTTACAGGAACAGTAAAGAAAGAAAATCACGGATACAGCGCGGATTGGAAACTGAAGTGGTCAGGCCTGCTGGCGTCGGAGGGACCGATTTGGAAATGACCGAGTCCCCACGGAGCGCGGCCGCCCCCAGTGTAGCCGCGCCTGTGCTCCCCCAGCACCGTGGGATTTCCACCTGCTCGGTGTGTACATGGAGAGCTATGAGTACAGACAGACGCTCCAGTGCCCTGGTTGGTAAAATGCCTCAAATAAAGTACAAGTCAAAGAAAAAGTCTTCCATTTTTTTCCTTAAGACAAACTGATACATGTACCCAGAAGAGGTCTAAGAGAAACCACTGGAGGTGATGGGGGTGGTTAAGGGCTGGGAGAAACCACCGGACAGTGAGGCGGGAGGCTTTAGGGAGGGTGAACTACGCAAGATAGGAGGATTCGAATTTTTCATGAACATAGAAACACAGTGGCTGCTGTTCGAATGGAGAATGTGCCAACATAGAGGAAACTGTCCAGGAACTAAAGACATCAGGTATTCATTGATGAGACCAGAGATGAGGTTCAGTGTTTAAAACATACTTCCCTACAGACAAAGGGATAGCCCATGTCTTCCCGGCCAGTTCTTCGCCAAAAGACACACATTCTCTTGCCCCAAGCCTCAGGGCCTGCTTGCTGACCCAAACATGGCTGGCTGCACATGAACCAGAGCAGCCCGGTTCTGCCACCCCACGGCCTGGCGGGAAGAAGATGAGCAGGTGGGGGCGTGGGGGGCCCCCCTCGGCGCCACCCCCACTTCCGTCCCAAACCAAAGGAAGGACAGGCCTCAGCTGGACTCTTACAGTAGAGCTCACAGACGTGCACGCCGAAACGCACACGGCTCTGAAGTCGCACGTGTCTCTGCCCTGTGAAGGGTGGGAGCCCAGGCAGGTGAGCTCCGCGAAGGGAGGGCGCTTACTCTCTGAAGAATCGCGGTACCTGGTCAACCTCATGGAGGTGCGGTGGTGATCGTGTTCGAAGAGCCTACGTTAGACTGCACGTCGGCAGCTCCTGGTTCACCCAGACGGCTTTCACCGTGTGCAATCAGAGCCTCGCAGCCTTAGTGCAATCGCATATTTATTTCTCTTACAGGGATTTTGGTTGCCATACAAGAGATTGAAGGATCGGGAGGAAGTGCAAATTACAGGAGCTTGTTTTTTTGTTTTGTTTTGTTTTTTTTCAAAATAAAGTTTTAAAAGGAATAAAAGCACAAAAGTAACAGCAACACAGATAATGCGAACACAAGTTACACAAACCATAGTGTGAAACATATTAGTTTCTAAAAAAAACAAAAAAAATTCGTTAATGGGAAAAAAAAAAATCAATATTTGTGGCCCACACACACAAAGTCATTGCCAGATCACCTGGGTAATGCTTGCTTGTTCAGTAACTCAGGAAAAAAAAAAAAAATCACCATTTTACTAACTAAAGTACCACAAATAATCCACTTTGTGATATGTAAAGTTCAGCAAATCAACAGTCACATTGAGTCATTTTATATTATATGAATTAACTTAAAATGTGCACAGACACCCTGGAGAAGGTGTCTTGGCAGGTATACATAATTTACATCTTGAGAGATTTTGGTTTTGTATACACAATGTTACAGAGACTAGGCATGTAAATGCAATTTATTTAAATTACAGTAGATAACAAAAGTTGATCTTAAAACCTGGAGTAGTATTAACATGATCTTTATATGAGCAGTTTGACTTGGGTCCCACCATTGAGGAGGTCGTGGAATAGGGCCTGGTCCTAATGTGTCCAAGGGGGGCGGGGAGGGAGAACAGTGGGCGGCGATCTCAGTACTATTGCTTTCTGTAGCAACACCATCGAATAGGGCTAGAGATGGGTTCATCTTGGCAACATGGGTTACTCTGTTGGTCAGTGCAGGTTCTGCGGGGTCCTGTGACTTTTCTAGAATAAGACAAGGCAAAAATAAGTGACTGCCCAGCTTTATTTTTTCTGTCTTGCACTCTGCTTGCTTCTGGTTAGTTGCCCGTGGCTTGGCGTCTAAGAAAGGGAGTGGCAGCCAAAGTCCAGTGAACCTAAAGCCACCAGATGGCAACCTAGCAGCGCCTTCCCTTCCTGTCCTCTCTTGTTCTGGCGTGTCGCCTGGCACTGAGCGTGGAGGTAATGCTGAACAGTAGACAGAGGAGGGAAGAACCAGGGTGAGCGGTGCACTGACTGAATTTTGCTCTATCACCAAATGGAAGACAAATAATGGCCCAACCACCACCTTTTCGTTTTCTGAACACTCGCAGGTGGCCTCAGCAGGCCACCCATGGCATCCCCAGCACACCCCACGACCAAGAGACGGAAGGTGCGCGGGACAGAAGCGCCTTCGTGTTCAAATGATTTCACGTTGGATCGGGGCATTCAAATACAGGTTGCCCTGCAGAAGGGTTTGGAACAGAGAAAGGTCCAAAACTCAGTTTCCAATTCAGGGGCATGTGGCTGGAAAAACTGTGTATGTGCGCGCGCGTGTGTGGTGCATGTTTGTTTTTGGAGAAACTGCTGCATTGTGAATTGTAACCACTTTTGAAGAAATAATTGTCCTTCGATGACGAAGTTCTAGCAAAGATAGAAAATATAACACAGCTCTGCTGGTTCAGATGCATCCAAATAAGGTTGATTTAAAAAGGTCATACTTTTATAATTCCACAGAAATAGTGTTATTAAATCACAAAAGTTTTTTTTTTTTTCTTTAACTTTCTAGCACTGAAGTGGCACAAAGGCTGCCTAGTAGACCAGCCACTTTTTTTTCTTAAAATATTGTGCTTATAAACTATCTGTACAACTATTTAAACTTGCAGTAAAGAAAGAAATTTTAAATTGCTAAATTTTATGTGTTCATTCTAGAGCTGTTCCAGACCTAATCAGACACTTGTGAGCATAAAGAAAAGAAAGGAAAAAAAAAATCATGTTTTTATAATTAGAGATGGGCTAGGCTAGTTCTGAAATCATAATAAAACCCAAAACCTGCTGTTCAAGTTTCTTCCAAGTGTGGGAGAATGTGCTGGAGGCCTGGCTGGATGTCCGGTGGCTCCCCGTGCAGGTGGCAACCTCCCTTGGAAACCGGAGGTATTGTTACAGGGGAGGGGACTCCAGGGAGGAGAGCGGGCATGGCTCAGGAAGGCCTCACGAGAGGGGCCTGGCGCAGCCCGGGAAGCCTCCCTGGCTTTCCTTCCTTCGTTTGTCTGCCTGCACCCTCAGCCTGTAGCCCACCGTGTTCTCAGCCTGGGGTCCCACTGGGTGCTCAAGAAGCCTGTTGTAAGACAAACTGGGGGGCTGTGTGGACAGTCGGAGACAGAGGGGGAGAGCCCCCAAGTACCATCTTCCCTGGCCTCAGAGAGCAGAGAGGCTGTCTCGGCAGAGATGCTCACCCTGGGCCGGGCTTGGACCTGACGTCATGGCGCCCCACCCGGCTCCAGGGAAGATGCCGTCTCCCCCACCGCAGCACGCGCCCACCGTGCACCTCGTGTCCCACCCTCGTGTTAAAGTGGATGCTCGCCTGCTCTGATTTTGCAGAATGCAACACACTTTCAGTTTAAAAAAAAACGGCGAAAGGCAGAGAATCCCCTTCTCACCGTCCTGGAGACACTCCTGGCAGATGACTGACCCCTCTTCCCCTGGAGGGGACTTGGGACCCAGGCAGCTGCACACTGGCTGCTTCCCATGGCCAGGTCTCCCCTCCTCCTTGGAGTCGTGACTTTGTGCTTTGACTAACTCCGTGTGACATCTGTTTGGCCACCTTGGAATTATGCTAATAGATTTACAGAAATAAAGCTAAGCAAAGCCGGGCACGACCCCATTCAGACTCCCCACCATGACCAAAAACTTCATGGCCAAAGAACCACAGATGCACATTGCAGGAGGAGATGGGGTAAAGAATCCAGAGGAAAAAAAGATTCTCTACCTTTCGGGCCTAAGAAGGGGCACCGGACAGACAGGTCTGGGGTGTCTTACCGCAAGCAAAGTAGAGGAAAGAAAGGAGCAAGTGAGCTTTGAGTGCCCTCCCGGAGGCCACAGACTGAGGCGGGCCTGGGTGGTGAGAGCTGCCCGGAAAGCAGAGGAGGGAGGTCTCAGGAGGTATCTAGAGGACACTGGTGTCTGCCTGCAAGAGCAAGGGTCCCGTGCTAAATCGACGGGGGCGTCCCTGGGACCGGGCAAAGTGAGGTCATCTGCATGCTGGGAGGCAAGCTGTGCCTCTTTCCGTGGTGGCAGAACTCCTCCCCCCATGTCCCCTGCTGCACAGAAAGAGCCCGTGAAGCCCACGTGGAGAGTGGGGGCGTTTCAAGGCCTTCGCTCAGCCACACCTGGACACACTCGGCATTTCTTTGGGTACCAGGAGACAAACCCATGGAATGGGGTTGGTGCTCACAGACTGTGCTTGGCCGCCCAAATATTTCAGTAGAAGCCCATCTCTACTTATAACAAGAAGTCTGTAAAGGTGAAGAGCAGCCACCCTTATCTGTCCAGCAGCTGTTTCAAAGCCCTTTCTATGTTCATCCGGTGCCCGACCCGAGTCACCCCAAGATCTATTAGATCTTCCTTCTGAAGGTTTGGTAGGTGACTGCCGTCAATCTCATTGTCCATGAAGGTCTCTTTATGCTCACCCAAGTTTAGACTTTCCAGCCAATCCGCCACGTCTGGTTTAGTCCACAGGTGCACGGGCTTAGTCGTAAAAGGCTTATTTGAGATTGGCTGTTGCAGTATCGAGGGGGATGGTGACCTGCTGCGTCCCGCCGGGTTCAAGCCAAACAGGTCCCCGGACGGGGGCTGGCTTGGAAGGCTAAAGACCTCTGAGAGAGTGGGAGAAGGAGCGGCGGCAGCGGCGGAGAGGGGGGCAGGCAGGATCTCTTTACTCAGCTCTGTTGGTGACACCACAGGGCTCGGGGCACGTCTTGTTCCTGAGGTCCTACTCTCAAAGTCTGCAGGCCGGCTCTGCAGAGTGATGGGCTGCGAGGTCCCCGGGCGAACCGTGAAGGTCACCGTCGTGCTCCGTGTACCTGAGACGGTGCTCATGACCTCTGGACTTCTGAAACAGCAACAGAGACAAATATCACAAGCCGCATCACGACGTGGGTCAGCGGGATGCAGACTGCCAAGGTCAGGGGTGTGGCTGGGGGGGGACACTCTAGGGGCAGCCTCGCTGGCAGTGAGCAGATGACTTGCCATGCCAGGACCGGGGCAGGGCGGAAGGGGGCAGGAGGCAGAGTTCTGAGAAGAAGCCACAGCATGCCAAGGCGGCCCACTCCCCTGGCCCCTCGAGGGGGCGGCTGCCGGGTGGGGGCGCCTGCACCGTGTGAGCAGGGAGGGCAGCCCGGGGCGGCCAGGGAGGCACATGAGGACGGGACCTGCACAAGGTCCTGCTCCCTGGGTGAGACGTGTCTGGTGATGTCACAAGTACACCACCAGTATGAGCAAAGGACAGCTTTCGCCTCCGTTCTGGCACGTAGAAGGAAGAGCACCCTTGGGGAGAGACCCTCCCTCTTAACTGCCTGTCAGGCCTTGGGCTTTTCGGCTTGAAAGGACAAGTGCAGGGAAGGGTCCCTTGCAGGCTGGTCCTGTTGCAGTGAGTGGGAAGCCCCACACCGACTTGGGGGCACTCAGGGTTTGAAGAAACCATCCACGGACCCTGAGAGCAAGGAGTAATTTGCCAGAGTGCAGTCCGTACTGACCCGGAGGGCTAAGCCCAGAACTGCTGCGACTTTGGGTCCAGTGTCGGCGGGGCCATTTGATTGCGGAATGGAGTGGGCGCGCTGATGTTTTCTCTCCCCACATGAAGGCAGTGTGGGAAGCTCAGTGTCGGTAGGTAACGATCCTCACCAAAAAGCAGAAATCTGAAAGGAACCCCCTTCTCCCAAGTGGCCAGGGGAGTCCTTGGGAGTCCCCCATGTCCTTCCTGCTCTGGCCAGGCAGGTGAAGCCCGAGGGGTTGGAGTGGGGTACACTCGCGCCTCTGAGGCTCGGCCTTTACTGGCCTCAAGGAGACGCTGGATGACCTGAGGGGAGGAGACTGCAACTCAGTGCCAGGGAAGTCTCTGGTCTTTGTGCTCACCTGCGCAGGGCCCCCTCCCTGGGTCTGGCCAAAGCCCACGGGAGGCTTTCCAGCCACATACAGAGAACAGCCACGCCTCTGGGCTCTGGTTCATGCTCTTCTCTGCTGTCCCCAAACGGAAGGCATTATCCACGCTACCAGCCCAACAAAGCCACAGCCAACAGGGGAGGTGGCAAGAGTAGGTGTGTATTTCTTGTCTTTTGGGCTCATTCATGTGAATGTGGACCGACCACCCACCCCCTTCCGAAGGATCCCTCCTACTATGGGTTCCTCCTCAGGATTTGGACTTGAGATGTATGAAGCCTGGCTCCACCTAACACCAGCGTAGGCACGTTTTAGCCTGTGAGTCTCCATGTCTTCATACGTGAAATGGGCTCCTGTCCCTCCCAAGTGGGGAGAGTCGGGGTAGGGTGTGTTCGGGAGTGTGTGAGGAGCCGCACAGGTGTTGCGTGGCGGGTGATGAAAGCGGACAAGGACAGGGATGGGGGGGCCTCTGTACACGAAGGGGTGAGCTGGGCACGAGGCCCAGTCCGCCCGTCCTCTCCCTAGCTTTTCTTTGCTGCGGAGTTTTCTCTGCCACTGGTGTGTGGATACGAGCACCCCATGTCAGCTACCTGGGTGTCTCCAAGCTTGTGACACTTCTGCAGCGGATGGCAGTCTCGGCTGCTTCGAGGACGGGATGTGGAAGCAGCAGGTGTAGAGGGGCCTGGGCGGACTCGCACTTCGATCCTGACACAAGCACTCCCAGGGGCAGGTGGATGCGACTGGGCCAGGGACAGCCACCCCCAGAGTGTCCCCATGCAGCTTCCTGGAGGGCCGGGTGCCCCGGGTGGGATCTGGTACAAACAGGAGACCTCCGTCAAGAACCTCCGGGGCCGTGGGTGCTGGTTACTGGTTATACTGGCCGGTAAAGGCAGCCCATCCACCACTGCCAGGCTCAGTTACTCCAAATCCAGAAGTAGGAGCCCCGATGGTGCGAGCTGTGGGGACGGGGAGCCAGCACCTCTGGGACCGAGATCAGGTTCTTGAGAGAGGGGTGGAGCAGCAAGGGTTTAAGGAGAAAGCTGCATGTTCTGCTGCTCGAGTAGGATCGGAAGACCCACTCCACTTCCGGCTTGGGCCGAAGCGCGCGCTGGCAGGGGGTGCTGTGGAGTGTCCTTCAAGGCGGCCCGTGCCCTCCCTGTGCCTGCTCCACGGCGCTGGGGCACCTCTGTTTTGGGAAGACTCATTGGTTCTGCTTTGATACAACAATTAAGCTAAGGTGGTTGAGTAGGCGCAAAGCCGCTCCATCCAGAGGTGATCTGAGTTGTTCATTAGGGCCTAGAACCTTTGGGGAAGAGACGACGTTTTTGTAAAGTGGGTAAATCTACAAGAGCACCTTTGCTCAGGTGTTGCTTTGTCGTAACAGTCCTGATGTGCTTTTTCTAGAGGTGACACTGCATGGTGACAGTGTCCATGTCCCTGACTCTGGTTGGACCCACCAGGGCAGCACAGTCAGGGAGGGGTCCCCCAAGCCCGGGCCACACTGAGCAGCGGGCACCTCCGAGCCAGAGGGTGGCTGTCCGACCGTTTCTAGGTAGCTGGGATGGGTTTTTTTTTTTTAAAAAAAAGGACAGCCTTGCAGGCAGCTGTGTGTGTTGTTGGAAACAAAGAGCAGGCTCTCCAAACACACTGGTGGGTGGGTGGGGGCGGGGGGAACAGCACACACCAGAAATCAAGGCAGTTTTGCGAGTGGCACTTACTTCTGTTCAGCATGACCCTCTTCTGTGAACACCCATCACGAGAGCACATGAAAATGACAGAATGGAATGGCTTGAGACAACACTGCAAAATTAATTAAAATTAAAAAAGAAGCTTTTTTTCGATGGATGAAATGAAAGCGGGGGTACAGATGTCGGCTGAGAATCTCCTGAGGCTGGTTCCTTTTTGGCCGGGGAGGCGGGCAGAGTGGGCAGTCCGCCTCGCTGGCCAGGACAGAAGATGAATACGGGCCTCACTTTCATGTTTAGAATGGGAAACTCACGACCCTGCCTTCTTTGGCTTGGGACAATGTGAACATAAAGAGGAAAATTATCCAGGGAAAACCTGGTGAGAAAGCGAGGACCACAGCATCGGAATGACATGAGCCTCTGCCTGAAGTCCTCAGAGGACCAGCTCGTTGCTAAGACCCTGACGAGGGCTCCCAAGCCGTGTGTCCTTTGTCTTCTGCAGCTTGGCAAGCCTAAATCGACATTCCTGGTGGGGGAAGGCGCCCCGCGGGTACCTGTGCTTTGCTTCAAGTCTCCACCGTGAGCCGAGAGCCTGGCAACTGATGGTGGGGGGATGCCGGGTCCGGCCACGAGCTTGGGGCCGGCGGAAAGTCGCCATGGAAAAGAGTAACTAACCAGAGAGCCTGAGAAGCAGAGCAAAGGCCCTCCCCGGGCTGGCCCATCCTGCCCTCCTTTTCAGTAGTTTGATTACTCTCGGTTCATCACGCTGACATTATTCACTGGATCCTCCTGGCTGCAGAGATCGGTACGTTGCTAAGCAACCACTGGGTTCCCGGGTGGAACACGCAGGAATCTGTCGCCCTGATTTAGAACACAGACACGTGCACACGCACACACCCTCTCTTGGATCAGCTCTAGGCTGCCTTTTTAAATCAAATCCATATGGAAACCGAATTAAAACAAGAACTGAGAGCTGACACTCAGAGACGCATCGTTATTTCATTAGTCAGAACCAGTTAACTGGGGTGGGGGAAGGCAGAGTCAGGTGGCTTTTTCAGTGCGTTTACAGATTCCATCTGGCTTTTGAACAGCCACTGAATGTGGGCCAGAGGCCGCTCGGTGACGCCGGCGAGGTGTACCTGTTGTCCCGCACGCGAGCTGGGGCAGCGGCTCTGAACCCGTTTGGCACCAGACTATCCCAGCGTGACCGGTCCCACCTCTGCGTTTCAGTTACCAGGGCCTTCTTGTGAGGAACCCGTCTCGTGTGGACACGGCCCTTATTGCCAAAGTGCTCTTCTGAAGGGGCCCTGGGACGGGGGGGTGGGGAGGGCAACCGAGTCATTCCCACACCTGCCTGAGGCCCGAGCGCTCCGTGTGTCTCCCTGGCTCCAGGCCTGGGGCGTGTCGGTGCCTCTGACACCTACACCTCACGGCCGCCACGAGCCCTGAGCACCACCAGGGGCCTCGGCCCACAGTCGGTGTGCGGTGTCCTTGTTGCCTGAACGGTGGGTGGATACTGGTTAGCTTGTGGCCCGACTGGGAGTGTGGGTGGGCGCCTTGGGTCCGCCAGGAGCCGGGGGTCCTCCTGCCAGAACGTTCGCATCCAAGCAGGTCAAAAAGGCACCCCATTTTCAGGGAGCAGCATTCACCCCCTGACGTGCTCCTGCCGACCGATCCTAACATCCAGACGGGAAAGTGAGAACCTAAGAACCACACCTGTGATCATGGGGAAAGGCTGTAACCGGACTGGAATAACCTTCCTCGAATACGGTCTACAAGAAAACACCCCAAGAGCAAATTTCATGATCCCCTGTGCATAGTGCTCACCCAATTACCTACCCTTCCATTCACTGACATCTCCTTCCTGTTTCAGTTGGTGGCTGTGAAACGGTAAAACCCCTGTGACCCGTGACGGTGTCGAGGTTAAGGGAATGCCGTTCGGCAGCTTCTGTTGGGTCGGCTTTAAAGTCTATGCTCTGGGACCAGCTGGGCGGAGATAATTTTTTAACAACCCACACTGATTTATTATAAAGCCAGGCGGCTCTCAGGAGAATACTGCAGAGCCCGGGAGGCGCTGGAGGCACTGGCCAGCGAGGGCGGATGCAGGGGGCCAGCCGTGCGGGGCCTCGGGAGGATGGCTCTCCTCCTCCGAGCCCATTTGTGCCCCCGGGAGGTGGAGGCCAGGCCAAGAAGAGCTGGGTGACCTAGAGGGGCCTTAGGATCCAGCTGATGCCATGCCCTCTGGACGGAAGCTGAAGGGGGACCCCCACAAGCGTACGTCCACTGCTTGCTCCCCCCGGCACACACAGGGTGAAAACAAGACTGACTTCGCAGCTGTGGACTTGCTGGATACAGCAGCGCATCTGTCTTGCTCCGGAAGGGATGTCTGCGTTGTCTGGGCTGCCAAAGCACGGAACTCAGGCAAACGGAGCTGCCGTTCTGGGATCCTGAGGCCCTTGGCCTCCGAATCTGCCCCTTGGTCTGCGGAGCGCAGGCCCCCTGACCTTGCACACGGACCCCGCCGCAGCCGGCGAAGGGCACCTGTTCCACCACGAGAGCTGCTGCGCTGGGCGGCTGCCAGTAACCGTGACACGGAGGTCTGGTCACGCGAAGCCTCAGGCGGCCGCCCTCTCACGGGACGCACACAGTCTCGCTCTCCCTCCCCACCCCAAGGCCCGCCAGCCCTCCCTTGGCACAGAAAGCATTTTCTGGCCTCCGGGCTTCATGCACGTTGTGCCTGTGCCTGGGATGCTCCACTCCTGATTTTCTGCACGTCTGGCTTCTTCTTTTATCTCTGGTCATTCAGAGGTCACTTCCTTAAGGACTGTCACCTCCTTCCTGCCCATGTTGACTTGGACTTGTGAACATGTCCCTGTTCCTTTGTAGCACTTGGTGCGCTTTGGGTTTGTTCATTACTACTTGTCCATTTTCCCCTTGAGAGTACAGCTCCCCAACGGAGGAGACACCTGGGATGTGTTCCAGTTTGGGGATGAGTCCCGGGGCTCAGCACAGCTCCTGGCACAGGAGAGGTCATCGACAACTCTGCGTCTGCTTCCCAGCTTCCAAGGGCCCAGGCCTCTGCGGGTGTGTATTCCTCCTGCTACTCTCCACCCTCAGGCCTGGCCCTGGGCTCCTACAAAACAGCAGCTCAGGGACTCCCAGCCAGTGGACTCAGGAGGCCCTGGGCCGGGCTGGGCTTCCAGGCTCAAGGACGGAGTGTCCCATCAGCTTCCCATCTGTGCCCTGGAGCGTGTGGGGGGCACACTGGGCCACGTGACTTCGAGCAAAACACCACTTGCTCCACAATGGGGAGAAAACCACTCCTGCAGAGCCCTCCAACGCCACAAAATCCTCAGGGGTCGTCTATCACCAAAGGGGATAGGACATCCTTGCAGCCGTGGACAGTGCCTTCACCGCGCTGTCCTAAGGGCAGTGCGGCTGGCCGTCTGCCTGACCCTGAGCTTCCCGGGAAGGGCTGGGGCTCCGCAGACTCCTCACAGACGCCCTCAAACCACAGCTTGCTTTGCTGTGACTCAGGCTGACACTCTCTTCAAAGATGAGGTCGCTTCTTGGAAAAACCAGGCTTTCCCCAGAGCTGCCTGGCGGCTCCTTCCTTAGTGGGGTGTGTTCAGACAGGGCCGAGGAGGCACCACCAACGTCGGTACTCAGGAAAGCTACTTGATCATGTTCTCGCCCCTGTATTTGTAATCAAGACATCTCCAGATCCCGAGTCTTCTCTGGTTTGGGGGAATAAACCGGAGCTGCGTGGCTCAGGTCAAATTTCATGTCCTCAGGTGAGCGAGGGTCTCGTCCCACCCTGGGCTCTAGCGAGAAGTGAAGAGTCTCACCTCAGTCGCTAAGAAGCACCCAAGGGGGCAGGTAACCCCAAAGGGGTGAGGTCCAAAACTTGAGCTCTCTTGGGCGATTGAAACAGTTTCTGTGGAGAGAGGATTTATGCATGTGTCGCTTTTCATTCTCCCTAGAGAAACGCCTTTGCTTCTCCCCAGGAGGATGCCCTGCGTTCAGGTCCACGCCTCACGCTGCCCAGGGCCACTCCCAGCCCGAGCTCCGGGATGCATTTAAAAGTAGTGGGGAGCCACCCTGGCAGGTGATCTCCAAACGGGCAAATACCCGGGCTTGTCAACCGAGGCAAGACTCAGCAAAGGAGAGGCTTGCCCCTGGGGCAGATGCGTGTGCGAGGGGGCAGACCGGCCCCACCTAGGGTTGCTGCTCAGCAGCTGTCACCCACCTCACCCTTGTCAGCAGCCTCATGGCCACAGCTGACATCCGCTTCGGGCTTTGCCCGGTGAGGCTGTGAAATCAGCAAAGCCACAGTAGCTGGTGGAGTGCCCAGGGTGGCACCTGAAGGCGATGACTTTTCTCTTTGTCCCTGGGGCTCAGGGCCATCGGATGCCCAGGCCAACTCAGTGCCACCCTTGGCCGAGAGCCGAGAATAGGACGCCACCTCTGGGTGCTCAGCAGTGCCAGAGGCTGCCTGGTGACTGGCCTGGCCTACCGTCAGCCACCGGGTCACCAAAGAGAAGGGCTCCGGCATGCAGCTGGGCTCAGGTGAGCCGCAAAGGCCTGGGGACGGCCCGCCCTCGGCGATCTCAGCCCTGCAGACAGCTTGGGCAGCCGCCCCTTCCTCCCGGGCTGATCCCTGGCTCCTGCAACAGCTCGGGAGTGGAACCCTGAGATGCTCCCTGGGTCGGAAGTCGGGTCTCGGCCTTCCGGCGGGGTCCTCCTGGCCGCATGTCCACCTCTCTGACCTTCAGTCCGGTCATCTGCACACGGGAAATAATGGCAGGCCCCGCGTCAGCGGTGCCCGTGGGGCGTGGTGCCCAGCGTTTGGGGAGGCCTCGAGAGATGTCGGCTGATGTTCTCATTGTAAGTGAACTGGGTTATAAATAACAGAACAGACCGGAGGTGGCTGTTCTTGGCATCTGAGCATCGCTTGGAGGTGGTCCTGCAGCTGCTCTCGAGAAATCCAACAGGATTCTGCCAGGTGACGTCCGCTCTGAGGCCCCTCCCACCGAGGGAAATGCAGGCGGGGAAGCCCTCGGGACACATGCAGCCCGACACCCACTCTCCCCTGCGCCCCCAGGAGCTCACCCAGTTGGGAAGGGAGTGGAGGTGGCGGGCAATCCAGAGGCCCCTGGATTGGGGTGGGAGGGCTTGGGGCAGCAGGGCTTAGGCCTGAGCATCTCTTGAGTCATCCCTTCAGACTCTACCGAGCTCAGACAGTGGCAACGAGGGGAAGCGCCAGGCCAGGCCCTCAGCCTGAGTCCTGGCTCGGTCTCCCGCTGCGCACGGTGCCCAGCCACTCAGCGCTCCGCTTCCCACATCTGGAGAAGGGGTACAATGGGTACCCGCTCCCCTGCACTCACGGGCCAGTGTTCTGTAAAATGCGAAGCACTGGAGAGAAAGCAGCTCCCTTCTTGTGCTTTCACGTGACGTAGCAACAAAGAACTGTATTCTCACATACAGGGAAAGGGCAAAACTGGCTAGTTTTAAGATTTTCCTTTCAGACTTTCGAGTATGTAATATTTGTAGGTATGTAGGTGCAGACGTCCCCCAGAAATGGGGACTTTTTGCAGACTTTGTTTTCAACTGGAGCTATTTTCTGAATGTCACAGTTAGTGGATGGAGTGTCGTCCCGCTTCTCTCTACCAAGGCTGGCCTGTCATTATTTCTCTGAGTGTACTGGGAGCCATCCGAGTAATTTATTTACATCCACACTGAAGGGTAACTGGGAAAACTGGCTCTCGGCCCGCCTCTGCAGGTCCAACCACAGGGGGTGTCGCTGGTTAACGGGCTGAGACGTTTGAGTCAAACGCCTGTCCGGAGGGAGCACGACGAAAGACTCGTTAGTCAAAGCGACGAGATCTGGGAGCAGACAGCAGTGCGGGAGGCCAAGGAACAGCCGCGCGGGACAGTGAACAGAGCTGCGTCACGGGGAAGAAGGCCCAGCACGGTGAGGGTCCGGGGGAGCAAACCGCTCTGGTGACAGTCACCCCAAAGCTCTAGGTGGAGCGCGAGAGGCCTGCCGTAGAGCATGGCATGCCTCGCCAGAGCCTTGTGGCTCCCGTTAGAAGTGAGCCCTCATATTCTACCTCCAGCCGCAATGGCAGCACTTGACGCTGCTGAAACCGTGAACGGTCACCCCCGGGAGATGTGGATGCCCTCTTCCGTGCTGCCTGCCTGCTGGGCTGGGCTGGGCTGGCGGGGGCGGCGGGGGGGCCGTTACCCTCTGAGCTCACTAGTGAAGCCACAACCTGGCACCTTCCCCAGCTCTCCAACCCGTCAGTGACCGGAGGAAGCGAGAAGGATCCACGCACACTTAATCACACGCGCACGCACGCCACCAACCCACTCGCTCTCCTTTGGCATGGCTACTCCCTGCAACCAGCTGGGCAGAGCTCAGTTTTGGCTTCTGTGAGGCTCCAGGATGACCTTACAGGGGGTCCTGGCAAAGGTTTGGAGGACATGGAACGACTGGGACCAGAGCACGTCTGTGGAAGCTGCAGTGGGGCTGGCCTTGTGCGGCTGCGTTTCACTACAGGTCTTCACCTGGGGAGTGCCGCCTCCTGCCAGGATGGCTGCAGCGTGTGCACTCTGCCGGAGTCCGGGAGGGCGGGCTGGGCGCTGTGCAACAGGTGCGGCCAGCACAAAGGCGTTACGGAGTCCCCCTTCACGTCCGCTCTGGCTGCTTCCCGAGGGCCTTTCCTGGTCGGCCCCGACTGGACGAGGCAGGAAAGCCGGCACGGGGCAGTCTGCGTCTAAGCCACCTGCGGGACTTACCTTGGAGCGAGGCCGGCAGCCTTGGTTCCTGTGGGCGAATCCAGTCCTTCCCCCGGCTTTGCCGATTTCTCTCGGTTCATTTGCTGCAGGATTGAGTTCAACTCACTGATCACGTTTGCCTTCGGCCCTGAGCGAATTGGGCTTCTGACCTCAGAGACGTCCCCCCACAACTTGGAGGTCCTTGGTGGTGTCACCTTCGTGGCCCCAGGCTGGGCGCTGCCCGGCGGCGGCGGGGGGGCCGGGGGAGGGATGACGAAGCTGTCCACGTCCTCCTCCACTAGCGCGTCCTGATAAAGTGCATTGCTTTTGGGAATTATGGGCTTCACTTTTGGCTTCGGAGGTACTGGGGGCTTGTCCACCGTAAACGCTTGCCCATCTGCATAGACTGTGCAGGTGTCCACGCTCTCCCCGCCTTCAGAAGACAGGGTGGACATGCTGGACACTGTGGAGATGGTGCTGGTCGTCTCGAGATGGTGGTCGCTGCTGCTTCGGCTGTCCGCCTCCTCGATCCCAGAGTCCGTGACTGCGTCAAAGTTCTCGGGGGGCGGCAGGAATGAGGCAGGCAGGCAGTTGGAAAGGCCAGCCGGCTTCTTGCTGTCTGCACAGTTGGCTGGTTGGCTGGGGTTCAACGAAGGGGACTGGGAGGCGTCCTGTTTCTTCTGCTTGACCAGGTCCGTGAGAGCGGGGACAGAAGCGATGCGGTCATCGGGGATATCAAAACTATTTGCAAATTCCAGGGGGGGAGGCAATGGCTCTGTAAAAATAAAATCCTCATCCAGATCCACGGATGCCAGAGGGGGAGGAGGGATGCGGAACGGCAAAATCACCGCCTCTTCCACGGAGCCCGCCGCCACAACGGTCCTGCCGGGCACGGTGGCGGCGGGCTCGGGGCTGGCGGAGATCTGTAAAGCACCTTCGGTTTCGGGAGTGCCTTCTGGCACCTCGGGCAGCGAGTGGTCTGGCTGGGCCTCCACATCAGCTCTCTCTCCCTCTTCCTGCAGCCGGTGGTCGGTGGTGGCTGCATCCACGGTGTGGACCATCAGCAGGCCGGCCGATCTCTGCTGGGACGTGTCCACGATGTTGATGAGCATGTGCTTCTTGTCCTCGCCCTTCTGGTCCTTGCCCAGCTCCGTCTCGTACTTGTTCTCGGTCTCCTGCCGCCTCAGGGGCCCCCGCGTGTTCTGCCTGGTGACCGGGGGGAAGCCTGCTTCCACGCTGGGCCGCATTTTGGTATCGATGTAGAGAGGCTTGTGGAGGTCGGCCTTGGGGGCTTCCCCCTTGGGGCCCTGTTGGGACTCCTTCATGGCTCGGTCCCTTGCAGACAGCGCCAGGGCCAGCGGGGAGCTGGGGTCCAGCAGCCTGCCCGTGAGCGGGTGGACGTAATTCTCAGGGCCAGCCACGCTGCTGCTCTTGGGGGGCACGGCGGGGCTGCTCTCGGGGCCCTTGGCTTTGGGTGTGGAATTCAGCGGCCTGCCGGCCTCCCCCTGAGCTGTGGCCTCACCGCCACCCACCAGCTGGTTCTCGGGCTCCCTGGGCGGCGCCCCCGGCATGGGCAGCGACAGCGGCTCGGCGCCATCCTCCTCGCCGAAGCCGACCTCTTCGGGGAAGTTGGAGGAGCGCGCCCGGGGGGCGGGCGGCCCCAGGCCCACGTCCTCGTCCCCCAGGTCTGTGGAGAGGAAGGCCGGGGAGTTCCTCCTGGCTTCCAGCCGCTTCTCCCGGTCGCGGACGGCCCCAGCGATGGCGGCGGCGAAGGGGCTGCTGACGGTCAGGCTGTCATCGGGCCGCAGCTGGCCCGGCTGCTCGGGGGCCTGCGGGTCGATCTCCGTGCTGCTGCCCTGACTGCTCTTCCCGCTGCTGCTGGTGGAGGGCTCCTTCACGATGATGGTCGGGATGGGGATGGAGCACGTCTTCTCGGGGCTGTCCTCCACATTGGACTGCTTCACCAGCATGCCCTTCCGCCGGGCGGGCTTGGCGGGGACGTACACGGCTTTGCTCGCAATCCTCCCCACCTCCGAGTACGGGTTCTCCGGCATCTGGCCTCTCTTGTTGCGGAAGTTGGCCTGGGCGGCGGCGCTGCGGCTGTAGAGGTCCTCGGAGTCCAGGGAGTAGCGGTCCAGCTCCCGCCGGTAGTACATCCCCTTGTCCCTCATCGCCGTGGCCACCGTGTCCGAGCGAGCCGCGGGGGGCACCTTGGCAGCCGAGTTCTGATTGAACGCCGGCTTGATGGTCCCGTAGACCCTTGGCGTTGGGGACTTGGGGCAGTTGTAGGTGGTGGGGGACGGGGGCGGGGGGGACGGGGGCACGGACTGCGGTGGGGGGGGGATGTCCTCGGAGGTGTCCGGCATGGACAGGCTTCTGGTGAACTTCAGCATCGGAGGGGCCAGAAATTGCCGCTCTTCCTCCGTTATTCCTGCAAGGAGAAGGCAGGCTTAAGTTTTAAACTGTGACACTGACGCCCCACCAAGCTCCTAGCTCTGTGACACGCTACATCTGCACACGCACAACGAACCACGGTGCACACTTGTTCACAAAACACAGCACAAGCCACCACGACAAGAGCTTACGTGGCCCATCCGAGCCCCCCCCCAGGAAAAGACAGGAAACAGGGAAAGAAAAGAAAAAGAAGAGAAAGGTGCTGGGTTGCATCGAGTGCGTGCTGTTGAGATGTTCTGCATGCAGCGCCCACAGCAGCGGGTGGGAGGCACGTGCGAGGCCAGGCAGGTGCCCGGGGCCACGAGCTGCGTGCGAGCACGTGGGTGCGCGTGAACACACACTGGGGCTGGGCCGGGTCAGCACACATCTGTCCGGTCAGGATCCGCCAGGGCCCTGGGGCTGTTTCTGGCACCTGGGGGCCGATGCTGTCGGGCTGCCCATCAGAGGCCGGGCCCATGTGACGTGGGCAGGGCCGCTGCTGAGGGGCGTGAGAGCTGGCCTGCCTGTGTGACAGGAGCCCGGTCGCCAGGGCACTGGCGGCTTGAGGTGTTGGCGCTCCCTCAGGAGAACGGCTGTGAGGCAGAGAAGGCCCTTCTGGCTCTTCAGCACGCCCGTGAGGGGATGGGGCCCAGACTGCTCTTTAGTGCAAGATGCCAACCCCAGCCAGGAGCGGCTTCCGGAGCAAACCCTGGGCCACTGGCCTCGGGAGCCTCCCCGGGTCCTGAGACCCTCTGGGCTGGGCTGAGGGGCCAGGCGCTTTCCACCGTCGCCACTAACCTGGGTCAGCATTCGGCTGACTTGGCACAAAGTCAGGCCGTGCCCCCGGACCTGACCTAGCGAAGCAGCGCCTGTTGGGTGTGAATGTGCCGAGGGGCCTGGTTGTGGTGATGGTGGGCGCCCGGCCTCGCTGGGCCTGGCTCCTCTGTGTGGGTTGACTGGGCAGGGCCTACAGACTCTCTCTCCGGTGGTCTGAGATACTGAAACGTCAACAGAATGCACTCCAGGAGATGGGAAGCAGACACACAGGTGGCAGGGACTCGGGTCTCACGCTGGGGCATGCAGGGGCTCAAAGAGGTAACAGAATGAATTACTTCCAATCAAAAACAACTTCTAGGACAAACTACAATAATTTATTCCAGTGAAAATTTCCATTCGATAAGGGTATTCCCAATTTAACGTACTCCTGTGGGAGGGTATTGTGGCATCACATGGACGGACTGCTAAAAGGCCTTCTTGACCGTTGGCTACCCGTGGGTTGCCTGCCAGCGATGCTCCCAAGGAGTCATAATTTAAGAATACACCTTACAGAGAAGTGTAGGGGTTGCATTCAGATCACACATTCCAAACCACAAGGTCCACTAACCTGATAGAAAGATTCTGCTGTCTGACAGGAGGAAATCAATTGTTATTAACCAGGTACAGAGCCAGGGACCCAGCCTGGCGTCTACGCTAGTCTGCGGTGGCCCCGCACGCCTGGGAGGGCGGGTTTCAGGAGCCAGATGGCACCTCCACCAGGGCCACTACCGTCTAGTCACTGCTGTGAGCCACCTCACACTGACCAAGGAGCCAGCCCCCCAAAGAGCAGTGCGCTTCCAGAAGTCAGCCCGCAGTGTTCCGAAGGGCCAGCCTGGGATGGCTGGGTCCGCCGGTGTCCTTCACTGGCCCAGCTCCTCTGAGAATTTACGTGGTAAAGACAGTGCTGGAGTATCTCACAAAGGGGCTGCCTGGCAGGGTCACGGTCACCTTGCCTGGAAGCCGTCAGTAGGTGTCACCGGGACATTAACAAGGAGGTACGCAGCTTTCTACGACACGCCGTACGTTGGTTTGTCCCAGTTCTAGAACCTGGCCCCACCACCCCCAGAAGTGTGTCCACCTAGCTTGCCCTGTGAAATGTGGCAGTTTCATTTCGGGCAATGCGGGGAACGTGGGGATCCCATTGAGCGGGGGACCCCCTCCACCTGCCACTCTGATCCCCGCGGGGCAACGGAGGGGGCTTCCCGGACCACCCCGGTCTGCCCTCGCCTCCCTCCCAACACGTGCCCCCTCACCCTGCTGGTGTCAGCACAGATAATGTGCTTGCAGGGCTGGATTTTGTTCCAGCAGGTAGAAGGGTTCCAGCCTGCTGGGGCATTCAGAGGCCCCCGGTGGGTGGGCCTGGGGGGCGGCTCTGCCTGGGTGCTCTGAGGGCTTCTCTGAGAGCCAGGGGCAACCTCTGTGGGTGTAGGCCATGCTTCTTACCTATTGATTTCTGCCTTCGCATCGTACCTCGGGGGAGGCCCAGAAACGGGCCTTTCGGGCTCCCGGGAACCGTGGGCGTCATCACGGCGATCCCCTGTCGTTCATACACGGACTGCAAACCAGAGAGCCTAGAGTGAGGTGGGCCCCGACCAGCCCTACCCCTGGCCGCCAGGCCCAGAGGGTGTCACAGCAGCCCTGGGCAGCAGGCACCTGTCATCCGGCTTCCCGTGCTGCTTCCAGCAGCAAGCTGCGTCCAGCCGAGGCTGACGGGATGCACGAGCTTCAAGGACCCAGAAGAGGCTCTCCCTGAGTATTGCCCACTGGCTCCTGCCCGCTAAATGCCAATGTGCTCAGTGGAGCCGTGGTCTGGCCGACCAGCCCGAGAGAAGGGGCCAGGGCCACTGCTGTGTAGGGGAATGCACCCAGCGGCTGGTGGGGCAGGAGCCTCTGTCTTCCTCCGCAGGCCAGGTGCTGGTGAGAGTGAGCCAGCTGCAGGTGGGCTGGCCCAGCAGGAACCTCCTTCACTTGGGAAGCAGATTCCTGTGCAGCCCCCACCCAACCTGCCACTTCCCTGTCTGTACGGGGCTGCCGGCTTGCCCCCCCCACCCTGCGGCATCAGAGGGGGACTCCCGAGTCTGGGGGAAATGGGTGCAAGCTCTCGTGCATCTTGTGCTCAGGCCCCCAGAGGGTCTTCCTCCCCACCCCGTCTCCCCAGGGCTCAGGGCGGCTCCTAGCTCTCTGGGACCTGAGGCTGGGCTGGAGGGTGTTAGGGCCTGGGAGGGGCGGGGCTTGAGATGCAGCCAGAGGCTGCAAACAAGGCGGACAGTGAGGATGGTGGGCAGGGCCTGGGGGAGGGTGGGTCCCGCCGGGGAGGTTGCCCAGAGCTTATGGGAGCACCCCCCCCGGGGGTTCTGGAGATGATGTGGTTCCCAGGGTGAGCATGTCCGTTGTCATCGCTAGCAGTTGCCTCTGTTTTAATGTGTGTCACACAAAGCTAGCCTATCCAGTGGGCAATGTTCACGGGGGAAACCAAGTGACTCAATGTGAGGTGGGTTCCAAGAAGGTACTAAGGAATCGTGACCGGGACACTCAGACCTGCCGCCAGGCACAGACGGGGCGCAGGTGGCCGAGTCTGGGAGATGGTGAGGAGCACCCTGCCTGCACAGCCTGGAGCGCGTGCGCTGCCACTGCCCAGATGGCCCGCCCGCCATCCCCCAGGGCACAGCCACTCACGTTCATGTCCGAGACAGACGGGAAGCACCGGCTGGTGGGCCGCTGCTTGATGGTGGCCACCCTGGACTCCATGGCCACGTTATCAGCAGCGCGGGATGGCTTGGAGGCCGGGACTATCTCCTCGGGTTTATCTGCAATGTGAACACGATGGTGGGAACAGGTGTCAGGGGTGAGACCCCTGAAACAACCAGGGGCCTGCCTCTGGTGAGGTGCCCTCCACGCGTGCACAGCCATTTCCGGGCTCTGGCCTTGACCATGCAAGCGGGCGCACGGCACCACGGCGTGGAGCACGCATGCGTTGGTCTGCCACATGCACTCACGCCGTCACACCCCGGGAGGCGCACGCGGACAAGATGGGGGACAAGACCCTCGGTGACACAGCCTCGGCCCCCGCGGCCCCAAACTCCCCGAAAGTCACATCTTCACCGGAGCCACTCGATTCGTGCTGACGGGACTTACTCTTGACTGTGTCAACTAAACCAATGCTTGGAGTCTTTCTAAGAGCTCAGAGGCATGGCTCCTTTGTAACCAGATGCAGTTGCCGGGCTGTAAGGCCCAAGGCCCAGGGCTGGAGGCAGTGGGTGCAGCCAACTGGGCCATGCCGGCCAGCTTGGGGGGCCGCTCGGGGGCTCAGCTTGGGGGCCGGCTTGGGAGGCCGAGCCCGCACTGCCTGGGCAAGACCTGATTTCCCAACAGTACCACATTCTCATTTCTTTGTGAAAAAGAAAGTCAAGGGTTACTTATGAGTGATTCTTACAAATTAAAAACTTAAGAAAATTTTAAACTAAAACATTAACTTTTTTTGGAAAACTTGAAAACTTCAGCACATCCCAGAATTGCCTTGACGCCCTGGCTTTATCTGGAGGATGCCCGAGACCCTGCAGAGCAAGGATCCTCAGTGGGGTGTGCCCCACCTGCCCTTCCAGGAAGACTGTGGCCGGGTTAGCATGAAGCCAGTGTAAGCGGAGCCTGGTGGGAACAGCCCGTTTTGGAGGTGGGCACAGCACTCCCCTTGTTCCCCCAAGGCTATCCAGGCCACAAGCCCGAGGCCTCCTAGCATCCCCAACCCTTTCTGGGGTCTGGTGACTCCCCACAAAGTACATGCCGTCGCAAAGACCCAGGCCCCGAGCCGTGAGGTCAGCACATGAATGTTGGAGCAGAAAGGAGCTCTGGGCATCAAGTCCGTCCCATTGGGTGGGACAGCCACTTATAACAGGGACTTCCAAAGAGGAGCTAGCCCCCTGGAAAAGCCCCCCAGAGCCCCAACACTCTCAGAGCCCCAGACCAGGGAGGGAGGGTGTGGGTGGGGGGACCAGGGCCACCCCAGCCTCCCAGAGCACCTACAGGCAGGACTCTGACATCTGCTGGTAGCTGCTCACAAAGCTCCTAACTCCAGCGCTGCATCCTGGCTCAAGGGTCGGCAAACTACGGCCCTGGGGTCAAACCCTGCCCACCGTTCTTGATCTATGCAGACTGTTTATATTTTTAAGAGGCTATTAAAAGGAGGGGAAGGAGAATGTGCCACAGAGAGCCTGTGGCCTGCAAAGCCTGAAACTCTCACTGTCTGGAAAATGCCTGTGCCTGGCCAGGGCCCTGCCCCAGTTCACCTGCCACTGAGCCACGGGCACAGGATTCAGGCAGAGGAGCCTCAGGGAGGCTGTCCCCCGATACACGTGGACCCACGCCTGCCTCTCCCACATGAAGGGAAGACCCGCTCTTTCCATCTGTCCTGCCCTGCCCTGCTGTCAGGCTGGCCTGCCGAGGGCATCTCCTGCTCCTCGTGGGTGCTGGGGATGCTAGTAAGCGTCGGCCCCTTAAGGAGCTGGTCAGTGACACCTGCCTCTCTGGGTCACCGTGTCCTCCTCACGGCTCCCGGCACTGTCCTTTCCTCCTCACCTGTGCCCAGGGCCGCAGAGGAGCCATCATCCCCAGCCCTCACAGCTGCTGCCCCTTCTTTCTCTCCTGTCCCCCCCTTTGCTGGGTCTCTGTCCCTGTAGCTGTGCCGTGCACACCCCACGACCCCAGAAAGCTGCTTCCTCCAGGAAGCTGTCCCCTCTCGGATCTGGGCCGGGATTCCTTCCATGGCTGGGGTCCAGCTCGCTTCTGTGCAGAGTCCCTGATGCTGCCCCGCCAGCCGGGCCACGCTCCCTTGGCCATGGCTCAGGGGCCTCTTGCGGTGGTGCTCTGGTGGCACTTGGCTAGCCTCCTCGGTCCTCGTGGCCGTGCCCAGAAGCTGCGGCCCTCGAGGCAGCTGCCGGTTTGCTTCTGCTCAGGTGCAGGGAGTCGGGTGTCCTCGGAGCTGGGAGCCCGTCTGTGGGGGTCCAGCCTTCGATGCAGCACACGCAGCTGGGGTTGCTCCCCCCGGGGGCCTCCGGGACGTGGAGCCCAACACATCCTGTGGGAGGCCCTGCAGGTGGAGCGAGCGCTGGCCGTGCCGCCGGCCGCGTCGCACAGGGAGCCCGGGGCGGGATGCTGTCCTGGGATGCAGAGCTAACCAGCAGCATCTTGGAGAGCCTCCTGTTTCTGACTGTTGCTTTGGTTTGAACCCCCTTCCCCCTGCATGCCGTGGGTCTGCCACGCAGTATTGGAGTAGTGCCTGGGTTTTCATGCGCCCTGAATATGCAGGTGGCAGACTGTGATCCTGGAGCTTCTGGGCACGTGGCAGGCACCCTAAAAATATGCCTTGAATGCTGGGCGTGCACAGGTGAGGCCAAGGTCCCGTGATAACAATGGTCCCTGGTGGAAGTTGTAAATGCCTCATTTCTCACCCTGATGAGAACCCGGAACAACCCGGATCTGAGACGCTGAAGGTCATGCAGATAAAAATCGGGGACCAGGTGGTGGGAGCTGGGGCTCCAGTTGGGGTCATCCAGCCTCTCCACCCCCACCTTGGGCCAGGGGTGCTGAGCCCCGGTGGGCAGTGGAGATCTAGGACTGTCATCAGAATTGCGGAGAAGTCCGGGCACTGTCCACACCACACTCACCCGAGACAAGAGGCCACCTTGGGTGGATGGCCTTGTCTTTGTTGGACACCTTGGTCCTCCTGCCTCCACCCAAATGTTCTTCGGAGCCAGAACAGCAGAGCACCTTGGCTTGTGGGGGGTAAGGCTGGGAGGTCCTGCTCCTACTTCAGTGAGAGCCACTTAGCATGGTTTGTGTGGTTCGCACGGAGAGACGCTTCCCCAAGGGCCTGGGTCCCCTCCTGGCTCCGGTCTCAGAGGGAGCCTGCCCGCCTGACTCAGGACCACTCAGGCCCCGTCTCTGAGGGCTTGTTTATCAGAACACGAGCCATGGCTGCGAGGCTCTAAGGATTATTGTTTTTATTTACGAAGGCCAGGGTTTGGGTCTCTATTCGGGGGCTCCAGATGAAAAGGATTAGTGAGTCCAGCCCCCTGCAGTCCTAAAGTGAAATACTCTGTGGCTAAAAACAATCCCGCAGACACATCAGGAAACTGGCAAATCTTAAAAAACCAGCTAGTAGAGAGTTGATGTGGGGGCCCAGAAGGAGCCGTGTATTTTAATTTTCTAAGCAAACTTGCGGTCTGTTTAGAGGACAGGGGTGATGCTCACTGTCCATCAAGTGCAAGCTTCCTGGCGAGGGGACGAGCGCGCTCTAGGTGGGGGGTGGCGGATTTGGCAGCATGGTGAGGTCGCCCGTGGGAAGCAGAGCAGGGAGTCCCCGCCGCCCTGCCCAGGAGCACACCCTTGGCTGCAGGCAGGCTTCAACACGCGTCATCCAGTGTGCCCCAAGGCCTCCTGCTGCAGAAACCCATGCCCCACCAGCCAGACCTCGGGGTGAGACCCTGGGCAGGAGTTCCTCCCCAAGACGAAAACACAACCACCACCAGCCGCAGGGGCTGGGAGCAACGGCTGTGGCCAGCTGGGCCCCCGCTGGCTCAGTCTCCCCAGGAGGCAGGGAGGCGTGGGGACTGCCGCTCTGAGCCCAGCGGGCTGTTGTTAGCCCGAGGGCCTGCCGGAGTCCCCCGCCTTCCAAGGGACGGGCCTGCGGGTGTAGCCAGAGGCACCAGCAGGCCGGGAGGCCGCGGTGAGGCCGGTCCCACCACCCGGTCTGGTTTGCACCCTGAGCTGCCCAGGGATGGGGGCTCTCCTGGTGGCCTGTTCATCCTTGTGCCCACGAGCACACTTGTCTGGGGACGAGGGCAGGTCCTGGAAACACCGGAGGACAAAAGTAAGGGGTTCTCGAGACGAGGAGCTGGAAACTGCCTGCAGCCAAAGCAGACGTCAGCCTGGAGGGGCCAGGGCTGGGGGTTTCTCACTGCCGCGACAGTTTCCTGGAACTGAAGTTTATTCTCCATCAGTCTGGAAGCCAGAATCCCCAAATCAAGGTGTCGGCAGGGTGGTTCCTCCTGGAGGCTCCGAGGGAGGATCCTTCTCGCCTCTTCGGGGTTCCGGGACTCCAAGCGTTCATTCCTGGCCCCTCCAACCTCTGCCTCTGTGGCCTCCTGTGTGTGTGTGTGAATCTACCTCTCCTGTGAGGTCACGGTCATTGGGTCAGGGCCGCCTCATCCTGAGTACGTCGGCAAAGGCCCTGTTTCCAGATAAGATCCCTTTCATAGGTTCTAGCCGGACGTAGATTTGGGGGGACACTACTCAACCAGTATGGTGTAAAGGCCTGGTTTCCCCCTGATGCACATGGCTCCTCTGGAGTGTGGGGAATGCTTCTGAGGAGGTGAGCCCAATCACCCGGAAGAGAGGGGCGGGGGCAGTGTGGTGGGGCAGGAGCTTCTCTGTAGGTCCACCGATGTCTGATGCTCCCCGCTGCGTGAGGCCGGACTGTCCTCTCCCTCACTGCAGTGAGGGGCTGGGCCTGTCAGCCAGCATGGGCCCCTGGAGCCCTGCGCTGCACCCCATAGTTCCCTTGGGAGCTGGGTGGGTCATGGCCCCTGAGCCCTTTGGGGTCTTGTGTGCATACCAGCCCCCTGCTCTGGCCAGGGTCAGGAAATAGGAGGGAGGGGCACTCAATCTCGAATTGCGTCCAGTCTTCTCAGCTGTTCAAAGCAAGGAGGGTCCCTTGCCTGTCCTCTGTGTCGATTCTGCTCTGGGCCATGATGGCCACAGGACTGTGACTTGTCTTTTCCCGCAGTCCGGAGTGTCTGGCTGCTGGAGGCGCCCCTGAGGGAGGAGGGTGAGTGGATGGGGCCTGAGGGGTGCAGGCCAGGGGCACGCCCTGGACAGGGGACTTCCTTGGCCAGCTCTGTTGCGCAGTGCAGCTCCTGGGAGCTGGCGCTGGGAGGCCTTCCTCAGGACGGCGTGGCACACAGTGGGGCGGTGGCCTTGGATCATGGGGCACTCGGGGACAGATGCAGTTCCGGGAAGCTTTCTGTGTCCTGGGCACCCACCACATGGGCTGACACAGTGACCGATCCTGGAAAGGCCACTGGGAGTTTCCCAGGCAGCCCCTGGGGGTGGGGGGTGGAGGCCGCGGAGGGGAGAAAGGAGGCGCTCCGTCTTGGCGCTCCAGGACCCATGATCCTGCCCCCAGATGTTGCCTCGTTGGATTCTAAGACCCACCCCTCGATTTCAGCATTCAGAATACCGCCTTGTGTCTTTGCCTCAGTGCCGAAGGTCACGTGATAGGGTCCACTCTGCGCTCTCCCCCACCCCCAAAAGCAGTTTTGAAGTTCTTATGCTTCTTTCAGTTGTTGAGGTTAGTTGTTTCTAGCAGCGAGGTGAGAAATGCCCTAAAATGTGGATGCTGGGGAAGGAGGGGCCTGAGTCCATCAGGGCCCTCGTGGGGCAGGTGTCTCTGCTGTTCACAGCACGGCGACCGCCCCTACCCCATGCCTGTCGGCTCCCTCCTCCCCACCAGCTCAAGCACAGAAGGCACGGTGCAGCCCTCTGGGAGAGCCAGGGGCTTTCCGGGAGCTCAAGGGGGGCGGCCCCTGTCCCACCCCTGGCGATGGCGGCCAGCAGTCAGGGGTCCAGCCCTCCATCCAGTGCCAGGGGCTCTGCTGGCCTGCACCCCGACCACCTGCTGCGTGTGGCCGTGGCCCGGACACAGCATAGAGGCTGCCGGCTGGTAGGGCAGGCCCGGCCGTGATAGCCTGAGGGTCCCACAGCCTTCATAGTCATGATGATGAGGACACAGCTCTGGGGGGAATGCACAACACGCTGTGGGGACAGGAACCACAATGGGAGAAGTGAAGCAGACGGGACAGACTGAAACAGGACGTGGTCCGGAGCTGGGCCCCTCCGGAGGCCCCGGCACGGGGAGGAGACAATGCAAGGTCACGGCATCTAGACGCCACGCTGACAGCCACAGAGGGGTTCTCTTCCAGAGGGTGTGTGGGCGGGGGCTGGGGACAGACACTGGGCTCGCCCCTTACCCTTCTTCTTCCGGATGGAGGCTTGCAAACAGAAAGGGGAGCGTGAGTCTGGAGATGGCAGCGCTCCTCCATGGCCTGGCTCGGGGGCTGGAAAGCCTCACCCTCACCCGCAGCTCACGGTGGGGCGGGGCAGGGGGGAGCGGCAGACACGGGAGGCCAGGGTGTCTAGAGAGCTGCATTTATGGCTTTCCCAGGAACCCGGGGACGGGGTGACCTTCTCTGTCTGACACGCCCTGCTGGTAAACCTGCTTCCGGGCTATGGATGAGGCACTGTCCCAGGGCGTCCTTCCTACTGAGCTCCCTGCCCCTGCCCCTCCAGCACTGTGCCAACGTGGCAGGTGAGTGAGAATGGGAGCAGATGGCAGGAGGAGCCCCACGACCCCGCACGGGGGGAGAAAGGCCACGAGACACCATGGCCCCTTGGAGAAGGCAGGGTGGCACGTGCTGTCTGGTTTTAACGGATGGGCAACGGTTCTGTTGTCATCCCCACCGGTGCAGGCCAGGTGTGGGGGGATGGTCAGGCTTTCCTGGGGGCCAGAAGAAGCGGGGCTTGTGGGGAGCTACCCGTTCTCGGCAGGAGGCGGGCAGCACCATGGCAGGGGTGCTGATTTCTAGAAGGCTAGCCTCAGTGACCGGTGAGGGGTGCTAGCTGGGAGGCCGCTGGGGCCTGGGGTAGGACCGTCTGGCTGTAGCACTGCACCCACCGTGGATGGAGGAGATCCCCCCCGCCCCCTCAACCGAGAATGCTGCAAAGAAGAAGGGCTGCTCTGCCCTTTCCGGGGGGAGGGTCCAAAAGGTCTCCCCGTGAAGGCTGGGATCAGGTGGGAGTGAAGTCCTGTTCCACGCCAGTGAGGGGTGCTCAGACGTCACCCCGCGGGGCCAGCCGGGCCCGAGGGACAGGTTCCCTACACAGGTGCACTGATGCTCACCCTCTAGCACCTAGCGAGGCCCTCTCTGCATGCTCTGCAGAGTGAGCCCGTCAGCCCACTCGCCACTTCCGTGTGGTCAGAGCCAGCCTCCTTCCAAATGTGTCCCTGGGCTCCATGGTGACGCCCAGGCACGACATTTAAGCAGCATCTGGGCGGCCCACACCAGCTCCAGGGTCCTCCCTCTCCCGGCAGCCACCAGTGCCACTGGACCCAGGGCCCACGAGGCTCTGCACGCCCTTCCCTGTCTATCCAGCCCCCCTTTTCCTTGCAGACCTAGAACACGCCAGGAGCTCCCTACCCCTGGTGTGCAGCCTGCCAGGCCTGCCAGCCCCACCGCTGTCTACGCCAAACCCCAGGGATGCAGCTTTCTGGTCTGAGCCGTGCGTGGAGCACCAGTGAGGCAGATTTCGGGGGGGCCTAGGCAGCAGGGGGGCTGTTTGGGGGACACTGTGGGGCAGCTTACCTTTATCCACTAGTGAGAGGCCCAAAAATTCAAAACAAAACAATGTTAGATGAGCCGAAAAGAGTAAAAGGCAAAACTAGTAACCACCCCCGAAGCCAGCAGGATTCCCACGAAGATGCCAACGTGGGAGCCGCCCGCACACAGGGACCTGACGCCATTCCCGGGTGTCAGGGGCAGGGACCGGGGCAAGCAAGCGAGCAAAGGCCATGCACGGCCTGAGGCTGCGCAGAGGCCGGTCCCACTGCGTCCCAGGTGCTGGCAACAGCGTGGGGCTGGGCGGGCCAGACAGGCGACTCTTACCGAGCTCCTCCAGCTCCGAGGTCATGGACTTGGAGCGCAGGGTGAGGGCCGTGGTTGGAGCTCGCTTGGGAGGCGGGGGAGCTTGAGGGGCAGACGGGAGAGACAGGTGTGAGAACCCGGCCAGGATGCTGCCCGCCCCACCCCCACGCTTCCCGCACAACCTGGGAGCCAGCAGCCCCGAGCCTGCAGGGAAGGCGGGCAGGCGGGCGTCCCCCCGAGGAGGGGAAGCAGCAGCGGTCACCCACGGAGGCTGCACGGGGCCGGGATGGGGCGGGACCCCCCTGCCTGAGTGAACGCAAGTCTGCGGAGGGGAGGCCGGTCCAGCTCTAACGGCGCTGTGCCTGCCGGGGCCTGATGGGACTAACAGTCCCGGCAGCCCTGCAGCCCCTCCCTGGCCGCCCCCCCATCACAGCAAGGACATGGGCCTCGCACGTGTCCCGTGGCCCCCCAGGCCCCGGGCTGCTGAGCACAGCCTTGCCTGCTGCCGTCTCTGTCCAGTGGGCAAGCCCACAGTCCTCGCTCAGCCTCCCTTGTGGCTTCTTTCCCTCCTCTTGGAGGGCCCGCCCCCAGCGGGAGGAGATGTGGGGACGCCTGAGTGTGTCCAAGCACAGGAGGCTGGAGAGCAGGGGCGGGGCGGGGCGGGCACCTTTCTTCCTGGCGGTGTCGTCCGGGTCGAGATTCCTGGTCACCGTGACCACCTTGAGGACGAGGTGGTTCCCTCCCTGGCGGATCATGTTCACCACCTGCCGATGGCCGACTTTGACGACGTTCTCGTTGTTCACCTGCAGGAAGACAGGGGCTGTGGGTGAGGGGCCTCGTGGGCCGAAGGGAACAGCGCCTCCCCCCCACCCCCCGCTCTGGGGCAGTAGCAGCCCCCCCTCCTGACGGACGGATGGACGGACGGACGGCCAGCAGGCTGACAGCATGAAACCACTGTGGCTTTGGAACCAAAGGTGCTTTTGGGGGGACCAGAGGGAGGCCGCTGTGGGGGCTGCAGACCACCTGACCGCAGCCAGGGGCCCATCGCGCCGTGCGGGGCAGTTTCCAGCGGCTGGGTGGCCAGGACGGACTCTCGTCTCACCCGAGGGCACTGAGGTGCTCACTCTGGCAGGCCTCGGGGAAAGCTCCTGGCCGCCAGCCATGTGCAAAAAGCCAGACGGGAGATTTCCAGGGTCCCGGGGTGTGGCCCTACTGCTTTCCATTTTCACACTTAAGAGGAAACACTAATTGTTTCTCACATATTTTGGGAACACACATCACACTAAAATGGCCCATTTCCTCCGGGTGCTCCCTCCCTCCTCCTCTCCTGTCGGGGAGGCTGGAAAAGGCATAAAAGCTTGGCTGACAAGGCGCTAAGGGCCACGGTCCCCGCCCTGCTCATCCAGGGACCCCAGATGAGGCCCCCATTGTGGCCACTCTGGTGTTCGCTGAGCTCCTGGCCATGGCCTGCCCCTTGACTTCTGTCTGTCCCCATGGCATTGGCAGGCAGAGGCGGGACTGAACGCCCCTGGAGCTAGGCCCAGAGGCAGACCTGCTTTGTCTGCTCCAATCACCACTGCCGGCCAGGGAATGAAGACAAGGGTGGACCGGGTGAGAGCACAGAAAGAGGGGGGATCTTGGGTGTTTGGGCTCCACACCTCCAGCCCGCTGAACTGGACCTCTCCTGGGGGCGCTGTGGTACCTGCCGTCCCCACAAGCATCCAGGATGAGCGCCAGGCACGGAGGGGTGGCAGAGGGGGCAAACCCACAGATGGCGGAGTTCATGACCACCCTGTGCACTGTCCTCCAAGAAAGAAAAGCCCCCGACTGCAAAAAACAAGTGAGAAGAACCCGATACCCCCCCCCCCCCGATGTCTCCATGTTGCCATACTTGCTCCTGCTGTGGATTCCCTAAAAACCTTTCAAGTGCAAGGTCGCCTCAAGCAGAGATGTTATCAGGCTTGGTGACTTCTCACTGTCCTCATACGCATGCAACCAGGTCTGCACACCAACGGCGGGCACACTTCCCAGAGAGCCTCGGAGCGCCTGGCAGGGGGACTCGGCTGGGGGGGGGGGCACACTGCAGCTCTTCTGGGCCTCCTGTACGTGCCCCAGAGAAGTGACTGTTGCTCATTCATTCACTCACCCACCACTCTTGCTCAGAGCACCCACTAAAAGCCAGGACATAAGAGGTGATCCTGGTGGGTGGTCTGTCCCTGCCCCCTCATGGGGGGTTGACCACACACAGGTCAGTGAACAAGTGTGACTCCAGCTGTGCTGAGTGCCACCTGAGACAACAGGTCCGGGCAGGAGGGGATGGGGGGCCCGGGCCCAGGCACGGGCTGAGGGAGCCTCTCTGCAGGAGGATGGGTGCCCGCAGTGCTCCAGGCCCTGCCTCCTTCCACCTGCAGGGAAGCATCTTTGCCTTCGGCAGTCCTATCTGGAAAACCCCAGGTGTTCCTCCTCAGGCTGGGCACCCCAAGGTGGGAACTGCACTCCCAGCTGCCTCTGCTTCCCAGTGAGGACAAGTGTGGCACTTGCTCCGGGACAAAAGGACCAGCTTCTCAAGCCTGCTCTGACTGTGGCCCCTCATGCCCTCCTTTCCCCCGTGCATCCTCCCCTCAACCAGCCCCATCTTAAGTTCCCACCCTGCTTTGGATGGAGTCCATCCCCCAGAGTGAGAAACATACCAAGGTCAGAGCCACGGGCTGTGTGGCTCTGGGCTTTTGTGGACAGGTGCACAGCTGAGCACTCTGACAGCGAGAGCACAGGGGTGCCAAGTGCATGTGCTGTGATGCCTACAAATTCCCTCCTGTCAGAAGCGCAGGCAGAGGCACAAGGCAGCACTGCTCAACTTGGAACCCACAAGACCAGGCCCAAAGGCAGGACGGGACACTCAGCTACATTCTACTTTCCAGCACAGGGCGCCCAGAAGAGCAAGAGCAGAGCCCTGCTTTAGAATTTCCCAGCCTTTAAACAAACTCAAAATTCAGTTTATCCCACAATGGGACTTTGGAACCAGCTACCGGCCCTAAAACAGATGCTCTGAACTGCATGTGTGGTGACAGGAGCCTCAGAGACCGAGCAGGTGAAATGCTTGCTGCTTCCTCAGATGCCCGGTTTGGCATGTTGAGCTTCTACGGGGTTCCGGTGTGCCTCAAAGTACCTGGGCCTGCAATTCTGGCACGCTGCCACCAGGAGGAGGTATGTGCCACGATCACCTGCCACATTTGTAGAACGTTAACGCAAATCTGGAGGCTCCTGGGATTACAGCCTCGAAGAAGAAAGAAATGGATTGTAAGTCACGGATCCAGTTAACGGCAGGGCAGAGTAGCATGTCTCTCCCTTCGTTGTTCTTATATACAGACATGGAGTCACCTAAGGAGGAAGCACACCATGGCCACATCCAAGTGGAGGGCAAGAACCCAAGACTGTCATCCACCACGGTTCAGAGAACTGTGAAGAACAGGAAGACAGGCCTTCTGTACTTTTGTCCTTTTCTAAACCGTCCTCTTCTTCCACTCAAATGGTTATTCCGATATAAGACTCACATGTACACACAGTTTAAAGAGACCGAGAGCTACAAGGCTTGTTACAAAACCCAGAGGACCCACCACCCGGGTCCCACTTCTCACTCCCAAAGCCTTCAGCTCATTCTTTCTAATCTATCCCTGTGTCTCTAAACATGCTTATGAAGTTCCTACTTGATGTTTACGTTTCAGATGTCGTCTGCTGACACACCACAATGGCAAATGATGACTTCCCTTGGGGTACTGAATGGCAGCACAGTTGGCAGTTGGGGACCAATTAATTCTCTGTTGCGTGTGTATGAGCGTGTTGAGCAGCATCCCTGGATTCTACATGCTACCTGCAAGCAACATCCCCTTCCTCCCAAATGTGACAACTGAGTGTGTTTCCAGACATCACCAAATGTCCACTGGGAGGTCAGAGTCGCCCTCGGTTGAGAACCACTAATTCAGGTCTTTTCTCTCATTCCCCCCCTCCCCTTCCCCAGGACTTCCACTCTCAGGTTACAGTTCTGTCATAATTCCAACTAGATCGACACTCGGGATGTACATCACGACTGTGTAATATCTATTCATAGCTAAGCCATATAGTATATCATGATTACTTTGTCTTTTCCCATACATTATGTTTTCCCTGGGGCGAAATCATTTTCTATTGTTTGTGTGTTGGTTTAATTTTCTATGTACTTAACAGTAATTCCAATCCAAACACTTCCTAAATAAGTAAATCTCTTTTCAAAATCTTCAAATATGTTGGGTATTTTGCTAAGTTTATCTTCTTGAAGAAATTGCTCCCAAAGACTTCTGCTCTTCTCGGCACAATGTGGATTCGGTGTTCTCTATGCCTGTGTCCCCAGGATTCCTTTCAATTTGGTCTTGTGTTGGGGTCATCTGAATCCCAGACCCCCTGGATATATTGATTGTTACTTGGTATAAAGCCTCATTTTTGGTAAAGGACATTCTCTAGTTGCTTCCCAATGAAGGGAATTTGGGAGAGGGTTTTTTTTTTTTTGAGACATTGTTTATTGAAAAATGGCTTTTTAAAAAAGATTTATTTATTTGAGAGAGAGTGAACAAGTGTGAGGAAAGAGAGAGAGAGAATCTTAAGGAGACTCCACACCCAGTGTGGAGCCCAATGTGAGGCTTGATCTCATGACCCTGAGATCATGACCTGAGCTGAAACCAAGAGTCAGACGCTTAACTGACTGAGCCACCCAGGTGCCCTGAAAATGGCTTTATCTGCACACTTAGCTGGGAATCTAACTGGGTACAAAATTAGAGGTTGGAGGGTAAGGTAAAGAAAGCTCCTAAGACCATGTCCTCTGTAGGTAATACAAAGTCTGGACAAAAAGTCCCCTTACCCCCAAACTCAAACAAACAAGAATGACTCCCTGAAAGCTCTGGGATGTGAACTGAGGTAGGCAGATTTTGGATGGGAGTGGAAAATTGGAAGCTTTGGGCCATGGGCAGAGTGTGATGTGGGTCACCTGAAGCTCTGATGAAAAACTGCAGCCTTTCTTTTTTCTTTCTTTTTTTTTTTTTTTTTTAAGATTTTATTTATTTATTTGACAGAGAGAGACACAGCGAGAGAGGGAACACAAGCAGGGGGAGTGGGAGAGGGAGAAGCAGGCTTCCCGCTGAGCAGGGAGCCCGATCCCAGGACTCTGGGATCATGACCTGAGCTGAAGGCAGACGCTTAACAACTGAGCCACCCAGGTGCCCCAACTGCAGCCTTTCTGGCTTGAGAAATCAGAGGACAGAATGTGGGGTGGCCACACCTGCCAAAGTGAGGGGAGAATCCCAGAAAAGAGCGAGCCAGAGAATGGCAGCTCCATGTTCTGTGTGTAAACTTTCTCCAGATCTCTGATGGATGTATGAACTGTGCTTGCACAGGCCTGACCAACAAAGCTTGTAGATGAGGCTAAAGTGCCTGAACCTAAATTTGAGCTGCTGCTACTGCAGGCTAGACACTTTGCAGTTTGAGACTAACCAAGGTAATTACCAGCTAAAATGCAAACATCAACACTCATTCAAGGAATGTAACAGAATCCAGACTGTCACAGCATAATCTTCACAATATTCAGGATACAGTGAAAACCTACTTGATGAACCCAGACATGACTAAGAGGTTGGAATTATCAGACAAGGACTTTAAGCAGCTATTAGAACAATACTCATCTCAGTATAGGAAAATACACTCATATTGCATAAAAGGTAGGAAATATCACCAAAGAAATAAAAAAAATGTAAAAAGAAGTGAGAATATTAAAACTGAA